ACGATCCTAATTCAGTTCGGTAGAGATGCGTCAAAATTCCAAGTTAGAGGCATCATGATTCATATGTATTTACTCATTTCATTGAATTTTACCGTAACATCAATTTCAACTGAATCTAAAATTCTTCACTGTAATATCTAATGGAACAATTCTTTAATACTCCGCGATTATCACATCATAATCGTAACCTGTACTGATGATGTGCATCCAAGGGTCGATTCGTTTTCGACAGGAAATCGCCAAGCAAACGATGGAGTCGACTATTCACTGTTGTCTGCAGTATTCATAATGATCAATTTGCGGATTGTTAAAACGATAATTACCAATCGTAACAAGTGATTATTCGAATGGAAATTCAATAGCTTTCTACTCTTTTTTCACATTCATCAGATGATTACCAATCGAAATCGAAAGTAAAAGCTGTTCCAATCTCAACAAGTTATCATCCCATTAAAAATGCTGATCAACTGGCGTAAATTACTCCCAAAAGATGCGCGAAACAACAATAGAAGAATCCTACAAGTGCACTCACTTCAGCTTGTTTCTTCAACAGTGTAATTGCTTTTTCGTAATTTTGCGTTCGATCATACAATTCCACCAATAAAAACACTGCATCCAATAAGTGCGGTGAAATTGAGATTGCCTGAAAAAAAATTCTCAGATTTCATTTTCTTATTCGTTTCAATTGTTGTTGATACAATACAAATGAAAATTGCAATGTTTTGATGGAAACGAAACCTTTTCTAATAGTTTTTGTGCATCCTTAATTGTCGTTTCATCTTTTGCAAAAACCATCGCACACAAATACAGAGCTCTCGCGTTATCCTTGCCCAATTGATGGCGACAGTTTGAGGCAGCCAAACGTGCCTAAAACTTCCACATATAGTGCAAATTCTGGAGGTGAACTCTGGCAAAACATATCTTTATACCCGGCTAAACAATCCACCAAATTTGCAAAGATATGCCTATAGCGATCCAAAATAATCCAAACTAAAATAACGAAGTCCTCCTCAAAATGCACCTCTTGGAGTTTATTCTGTAACAAATACGCCTGAACGAGTGTTT